CCACCCCTAACCCACCCCCAACTCACCCCCTAACTCAAACCTTACCCACCCCTTAACCCACCCTACAACCCACCCTACAACCCACCCCATAACCCACCCCTTAATCCATCCCCCGATCATGTCGGACTCCTACCGACTAAAACCCCACGGTGTTCCGTCCCTGCGCCTTTTGCCGGGACTATGGGAACGCTTTCGCACTCTTCCGCGGTCCCGACGGCGCTGGCCCTCGGCCGAAGGCCCCTTACCGTTGAGGAGGAGCTGGGGAGACACCACCCGATTCATCACTTACACCGCGCGCGCCACTTCGGGGTCTATACATTACGGGCGGCGGACGTCCCCGCATACACCGCCAAAACCCCTGTTATGGGGGTTGAAGGAGGGCATGATTAGTGCCTCCTCCGACGCCCTGCTCTCCTGCAGCGGATTGGAAGAAGAAAGAAAGAAAGAAAAGTAATTTATTCAGCACAATACACGTGGAGTACAATATTAATAATTAGTATTAAAAGTGTATTATTGCACTGAAAAGGACCCTACTCAGCTAATACTGCGGCAACCACAGCGCTGGTTTTCAGTGGACCCTTTTCGAAAATGCCGATTAAAAGAAATAAAAATATATGAATAAAATAAAAATAAACGTGGACGCGAGTTAAATAAAAACTTAAACATGAAACAATATAATTAAATAGGAAACATAACACAAATTTCAGCTAATGTCCCAACAAAGATTCACTCTGCTTTTTCTTTTTAATTTTGTATTTTGAGGCGCATTACACAATTGTTCCAGACGTGTTTTGTAGATTTAGAATGTGCTCTTTGATTTGACATTTGAACGCGGATATAAACGGATTGTGAAGAACGCATTGGTGGCGGTATGTTGTTCCAGATTTTCGCCGCGGAATATTTAAAACTGCCTTTATATGCTGAAGTTTTGTGTTTTGGAATGCAGAGTGGAAACCTGCAGGTGCGCGGTCTATTAGTCCATGCGAGACGTTCATGGAGGTAAAAAGGTTTTTTGCTTTTTGTCACTCCAAATAGAAACGTGGCTAAATGGGAGTATCTTCGCGACGACATGTTTAGTGTTTTAGCTTCATTCAGAAACGGAGATACGTGACTTCGCGGTGGTACACGAAAACAAAATCGAGCGCATGTATTTTGCACTCTTTGCACTAGTCTTTTCGTTTTTACCAAAAGTCGCGGACCGTACACTACGTCACCATAGTTTAATCTAGATAGTATTAGGGAATCACAAAGGCGTATGCGGAGCTGCTCACTAAGAAATTCACGCATCTTATATAGTACTTTAAGCCGGAAAAAACAGTTTCGAGTCAGGAAGAAGGGTGGTGGCCTCCTGGATACTACCTTTGTCCACGACCTGTCACTTTCCAGCATTGATTTGGTCATTGCAGGGAGTGACAGGTCGTACCCCACTGCGGCAACAGGTTCATGGCGCTCATTGGCCCAGGTGGGGCACACCTGCAGCGTGTGCTGTGCCGTGTCTTCGCAGCAGCCACAATGGTAACATTCGGTTGTCGGTTCCCTCCTGGCTATATGACACAGGTACTTTCCGAAGCAACCATGCTCGGAAAGCACCTGCACCAGCCTGAAAGTCAAGGACCCATGCGCCTTGTCCATCCAGTTCTCAAACCACCCAAACCACCCACCAACCCACCCCTAACCCCCTAACCCACCTCTGACCCACCCACGAAGCCACCCCCTAACCCACCTCCTAACCCACCACGTAGCCTACTCCACCACCACCCCATAACCCTCCACCCTCCACCCTCACTCACTGCCACGCACTCACCCACTGACTACTAGCACACTCACTAGCACCCTGACCCTTGAAAACCGGAATGCAGTAATGCTCACATTACTGCTTGGCAGCAGAAATAGGTAAGGTGATAGTGCGTGCCTGGACGAACTCTTTCACAGGAGCTGTGCTGCTATTAAACTTATTGTAACTGTCCACTGTGTCACCCACATGGGCCCTGTGAGAAATAATACGAACTAACAGTGTTAACACAAAAATATTTTATAGAATTTAGCAATATTTAAGAAACAGTTTGACGGCAGTAAATTATTTTTATGCGTGACACTAGTCATACATTCCAACATCCACTTACTCAACTCGACAACGAACGAAACAACGAATCTACTTACGAGTACTTATTACTTAAGACAAATTATGCACTATACATACTGCTACAGAAATCATTCACCTCAATAAAAAAGGTTATTGCCGACTCAAGGTTGATCAGAGGATTACTATGTAGCGCATGTTTGACACCGAAACCTAATGTAAACTATACAAAGTTGCTTTTTCCATTGTTTCTACCTTCACAGGTATGTACTTGCCGTTGCTTAATCTGTTATAAAGCTAAAAATTAAAATTGCCATTGTAGATTTAGCGAAACGAAAAGAGACTTTCTCGATATTTTGAAGAATTGTTACACAATGTGTCATTCGCGTTTTGGGTAAAAAATATTAGCCCAGTCTTAGCTACTCTCTCTGGTAGATGTATACATATTAAGCATGCAGGAGTATAATTATTTTAAATTGATAAATATTTCTCCACAGGGTTGCTCGTGTAATTATTTCTCAAAGCCCTTAATTAATGCGTGCCATTTATAACGTTATAAAATTATTGTGATTATTAATTATTTTCAAAAATCCACAACCTAAATTGTTAACATTTTTGTCTCGTTTTGTCGTGAGTTGGACCGCACGCAACGAAATGTCCCGCTTACTTCGAAAAACAAAGTGCCAGTCCTGATAATATAACGTTTACGTACTAATTTATTTAAGTAAATAAAAAAGTTAAAATTCCAAATTAAAATTTTTACGCACATAAGAAGCAATTATACATGGTATAGAGAAAACAATTCGGTTTTCAGATCACACTCCAGTGCCGCTGCCAAGAGTTCGTTAAACGTTGTCAGGGAACGGAGCAGAGCAGAGCAAATCGTTCTGTTTATAATCTAAAAAACCCTTTCGGTATTCCATCAACTACCTGTATAAGGGCAGTGGAGTTACGTTATCAATTTGACTCCCTCGCTTTAAAACGTTCATTAGTAACTAATAAGCGCAAAGTGCACTACGATAGTCGATCTCAAGAAATAAAGTTTACATTACATTATGAACACAACAAGCGAAAATAACGGGACACCCAATAAACACTCGAATTTCTTTATCCAACCGACGTTAACGAAGTTTTTTGACGAATGCCTAATTAACGGTGATGGGCTGACACGAAAGTCAAAATAAACTACGTATAGGTAATCGAGGACGGTCATTTTTTAGGGTGTTTTAAAATACTTTTATAGTTTGCAAGCTTGTCAAATCAGGAACGTAAATAACTCTGAATTCCTTAATTGTAACTATTAATCATTAATGAAATATTAATTTAGGAGGTCTAATAAAACGTTTAAATTTACATAAAATAACAAAAATACTTCTCTGATACCGATAATACCGACTAAATAAACTAATACCGATAGCTTTAAAGTATTATTGAAAAATTACCCACAGTTAATATCTGTTTACAATAAAATAAATCGATAACATGTGTTTTCATGGCCGCCAAACAGCGGGCCGACTTTAGGCCACGTAACGGGAAAGCAAGGTATACGTATTTTATTCATATCAATGAGATTGCCAGAATTTATATCTTTGGAGAAAAGAGTTTACAGATTAATCATGTTTTTAAAAATTGGCAAATGTTTATGTACCGAAATATTTTTTTACTTCTGTAGCGGTACAAAAGAATTTTAAGTGCAGGCAGGAAAAATTGCAGGTTTACTTTTAAAAATGCTTTTTAAGGTATTGAAAACCGTAAAATATCAATTTCATAAAGTAAGTAAGTCTATAAATAATAAAGCAAAGGAAATTTCAGGTAACAATAGGTCAGCATTCTGTACATGAAAATAAATTAAAAATATAATAACGATGGGACGGAAGAAGTCTTTGTTAATTTATTAAATATGTATAATTTTATTTCGTCGCATTTTACACGTTACGTAGTTTTACATTCAAACTACAGTCACCCACGCATATCTCAAGCAGCGACAATGATCTCGCCTAAAATGAAACTTTTACTCCATTATTATATAACTAACTATTGTTTAGCAATGTTTTTATTGCAGTTTTGGACAATATTATATGTATTTTTCTGTAGATACATAAATTCCATGACTTTGAGAAAATTAGTTAAAACTAAAAACAGCAAACTTATAATACTCATTAACATCACATATGAGTTAATGGTATACCTATAGTAAATATTGGAGTGGTAAGTATTTTCAGGCTTCTTTATCGAAAAACGGTAATTTGTTGACTTGTATTGCGACGAGCATTATCTAACCATAATAAATAAATATAAAATGTGGCTTCTGAACCTTTCTGTAATAAAGTGCAGAAGGATAAAAAGACAGATTACACGTTTCTGACCAAGTGATAAGAGTAGGTACCATAAACGTCACATTCTGTGGTCGATTTATCGGTATGGACAATTTGTTTTGTATCGTGGATCACGCGAGAACCATATCCTTTAGTAAAAAGGAAAGTTAGAAAAAGAATTAAATAGACATGCGTTAAATATATAATTATTACACAGTAGTTACGTATCTAGTCAAATAAATTTATTACGAGAAAACTCTATCTGTAAATTAGAAATTACAATTATAAACCGTTTAGCAAAATTGTTCAAAATAATTTGTAGAAATGAAACAAAGGGAATAACTTAAAAATTATGTTGCAATTTGTACATAACTTTTTTTACAACACTAGGCTAGTTAATTTTCTTCTGTTAAGGATTTTAATATCAACTTGTTTAAGATAATTTTTTCTTTAAAAATTCTTTGCTAAATGTTAAATTTCTATTCTAAACTAGTTATAAGGACCATTATTTTCAAGTCAGGCTAATGGTTATGTCAGGCTAGCATCTGTTAAATAGCTCGACGATGAGTATAAGAAGCGCAGGAGTTGCGCGGGCACACATAGCCTCGCCAAGACCTTGTCCGCTACGCAAGGACGCAGGTCGCAGCCCCTACACGAAAAGCCTCCCGCCATTTCCAAACGAACGCGGCCGCAGGAAAGTTCGCTTCTAATTTAAAAATATAAAAAGACAAAATATATTAAAAGAAACACAGTAAACTAAGTAATTTTTAAACGTCGCTGATATTCCCTAACTCAAATTAGGAATTAGGAAAACAAAAGATTAAGCGCTGTGTTGTGAGAATAATATAGTGAAACGAAGAAAAATTGGGTGAGTCTTATTTTTACTTATTAATTTAAATATTGTTTAATACCACTACATTAATGCACTATTCTAAAAACTTATGAAAGTTTTGCGCACCCGACCGCGTTGATGTCTTTTTTTACAAACTTTTTGTCATCACCGCAGATCAAGTGATCTTATTAAATGCTTTTTACATGAATTAATATAGTCATAATAAGTAAATTTATTACAAAGTATAATTACTTTATGACTTATTTTCCTTCATTACATATTTTTTTCGCAACGACTGGATGCATCGTTGTAGTTGTTGCGGAAAATAGAATTTACCATATTGGAAATCCATGTGTAAATAAAGTTCCCAGGGAATTTACGCATATGGGTTGGATTCAATTGTAGAGTAAGATGAATTGTTTCAATTAGGAAAATGTTTTAAAGTAAAGTATATACTAAATCTAACTTTTACTTGTAATGTAAACTTAGCTAGTTAATTCCTAATAACCTGAAGATACAGAATTATATTAATATTAAATTGTAACTACGATTTATTAATTAGTGATGTACTATTAATAAATCGTAATTACAAGTAATAAATAGATTATAAATCCTTGTAAAGTTTGAGTTCGGTAGCAACAAAATAGGTTTATTGCAGCAAATATTGTACGAAGGCTTTTAAATTACTTCTGATATAGGTAAACAGGAATGCACTGATTAACCTTCCACGAAATTCAAATGCATAAAATATACGTCATATCTGTGAGAGTGGTTTACTACTCTCAATAATCTAAATGTATATAAAATATATATAAGTGAACATTTTTATGTACTTTTGTTTTTAGTATTAACATCTTTATTGTTCTTTGTTGAGTGTTCATAGGTTCGCGCTCAAGAGATACTCGGATAAGCGTACGAGCGCAACTCATGTTAATTCGATCGATAGCGTACACGAAGTTTGTGCTTTGTTCTGTTTTTTAAGAAAACTAAAGAATTTAATAGGCTGGAATTGGTTTTATTTTGCTAATACAAGTTTGCTATTGAGATAAGGGGTTCTGCAATGTAAAAAAATAAATAAAGCAATATCAAATAAATTGAGTATATATATATAACGTTTTACGATGCTATAATTAAAAATAATTCTGAGTTTCGAGCTCTTAGGCTTTTGCGATTATTACACAATAGGAAATAAAAATATTTATTTCGGATCTGAATCAACAACAAATCAACATTTCGGTCCCTTTATGGTTCATATGGTTACTGACGGACAGTTGGTGGGTGACGGATTTGTTTAGAAAAATAAACAAACGCGATTCAAATCCGAAAAATAGTTGCATTTCCTAAATAAATCAGAGTTTTAATATAATTGATACTCTCATCTTTCTTTCGATCTTTATAGGATTTATTCTTCTCTTTTTTTATTATTCCAAGTGACGAGACGAAAGAGTCGTGGGCCTAGTGGTAAGCAACATGCCTGTCCATTACAGTTGTAGTGCCCCTGAGAGCTTTAAGTCACAAAGATTTGAGAGGCACTGCACCCGTCACCCTGAAACATGAATAGACAGGTCCTATGTGCCTGTAATTTCATCAGCACCCTTAACCTTCAAATCTGAAATGCAGTAATAGTCACATTACTGCTTGGCGGCAGAAATAGATAAGGTACTAAGGTACCTACAACGAGCTCTACTGCCACTAAAAAGGTCTATTAAGACGGGTCTGTATCCCCGTTCTTTTCTACATAAGTTTTGATTATAGTGACCCTCCCTACCAACCCTTTGGGTATACGAGAAGGATACTATGACCTGTGCAAGCAAGCTCGCACAAGAACCATCTCAGTCAGGTCCTGACCCCAGATCAGCCCGTTTGCACAGACTTCAAAAAGTGCAAGATTAGTGTAAATCGAGTGTATCATATTATTTTGTTTAAAACAGGTTGATACAACTCTATCTGTAGTAAAATGCGAAGAACAAGTCAGTATATTTTTTAGATTGGCTGACTTATTTAGTATCTGGAAAAATATTTTAAGAAGGTTCAAATATAAAATCCAGATAATGTTTAATGTGTTAACAAAAATATATGAATTCAGAAGTCAAAAAACTGTTTCGGTTGTTTATTTATTGCGTCTTCACATTATTGCCATATCAATAACACGTTTGCTATATGATTATATTGTTTTTGCACTCATAAAAACAAACTATTATTAAAATTATGTATTTGGATTACATCAGCTGGCTAACCGTGTAACTCGAAAGACAGACTGGTAGCGATATTCCATCGTTTCGGCTATCTCGTTACGCGATTCGCCTGCTATAGAGTTGTTGTATGTTGAATGATACAGTTCAAATAATAGCCATCAATCTTGTCGTGGCATGTTCGTGTCGTCACTTGGTGTTATAAAAAAAATCGCTCGCGTAGGTATTTTTTAATCATAATCGTTACTTTAGTCAAAAATAATAAATAAAATAATATGTGAATATCAATAAAAATTATATAACTAAGATGTACAATTATTTATTATCCATAAATAGAGCGCCTATTATTACCTACTAATAATAGTTTGAAAATCTTGTGTAGTCATTTATTACCACTTGATCAAATGTCATAATTATATTAAAATGGGAAAATATCAATCTAAAAATCTTTCGAATGAGATTTTTGTTATTTTGGTATACTGGGCGGGCGAGTGATGGCTAAAGTTCGACAAAGAGGGAGTCGACGTCCACTAATATTTCGATCAAGTTGTTCTCAATTAATTAATTATATTCATAATTGACCTTCCTTAATATTGTATTTTTTTTTGTATTATTCAATACAAATACTCTTTAATATAACGTATTTTTCCCATGACATACAGGCATTGCCTCGGGTACCTTAGACAAAAATTAAATCCCGTTCCTTAGAGTTAGGGACCTTACGGCATAAAATAAAGTGTTACTCAGTTGATGTTTAATAATAATTGTTAACAAAATTTAATGACAGAGGGTTGTTCCATGTAACATATCCAATACAATAGTTTCTTTTTTCCATTCAACATTTGCCGGTAACTATTTCGTTTTGGATTTTTTGTGTACATGCTACATTATTTTCATGAATAAAATGGAGTATGCTTTTATATCACAGCGCTATCTCAGTTACATAGGGTTGGCACAATAGGTGGTATCGTTTATGTTCGTCTGTATACATTAATGTTATTGACGCGTTGTAAATTGTCTAACAGTAAATTTTACTCACGAGCTTAAAATATAAAATGTAAAGATATTGATTCGATAATTATTTGCGGTTTTCAGTCGTTGCATATTGTAATACTTAATAATCTAGTATTAAAAAGGAACATTATCAAGATGACATTTACAAAAGGAACTGTCACTACGACAGCAAAATCAGCGAATTAAGCAAGTTTTTTCGAATTTACAAGACGAATTTTGCTTTAGTTTAAATTAGGCAAAGTTTGTTTAGTAAGTTTCGTAATCAATGATTACATAGATGATACCTACGTTATGTTTGTGATGATACAAAACGATCATTATTCTCAGGTGAAATTGACCTGTTAAGGACTTGTGGTTTTTTGTTTTGTTGTGGCGATTTCAAGTGTAGTTTGGTTATTTACGAAATAAAGATTCTTGATTTGATTTGTAAGTATGTACAAAAAACTTGCTTAGCTCGCCGTCTTTCCGTAGTCGAAGTAAAAGTTGGCCGTAGTGTGATATCTGAATAAATGACGAAATCAAGCCATCTATGTATATTTTACATGCACTAAATTGAAATTTGTATACTTTACCCACGAAGTATTTAAAATATTAATTCAGGCACTACAAATTCTATGCATATATTCCCATAGATTCTAAAGTAGGTGCAGAAACTGCAGACTCCCATTGCTAAGTGGCATAAGCCTATTTTCATCTTTTGCCTTTTTGTCCTCGCTATTTATATTTAACTGGACTGTAGCACAAGTTTTAACTTGAAGCTCTATAATAAGGTCCATAAAAGACTACTATGGATCGTCAACGAAGCCTCCAAACAGGTTCGATTCCCGCGAGGCTGAGCTCAGTTCTCAGAAATTCATATAAACAACAAGTGCAATTGCATTGAGTATCGTAAACTAAAACAACGGATGGGTTCTACACGATAAAGTATAATTTAAAATTATAATATTTTTCTTTATACTTTGTAAGACCAAATAAACGACATAGCATTTCAAAGTTAAATAGAACTCTAATAATAGGGCCTTTTTAATTGTAAATGCGTGTTAAAGATGCGGTTTTCTGTATCAATTCTGGTAGTGAAATCTAAAATGTCTCCGTAGTAACATAATAACCAAGATTTTATCCATTGTAACTACACTTTAGGTATTACGTACCTAATACGCATGCACCTACGTACGTAGTACCTAATATGTACTATTGCAATATTACAAAAATAAAAATCTTAGATTAATCGTGTTTGAGTAGACGAGAACAAAAAATTTTGTAATTTTATTCCTTTTTATCACTGCAGAATTCTGCGGGACATTAAGAAACTTAACCGTCGTCAAAGGTTTTTTTTATAATATTAAATGAGAGAACGAACAATTCGTGCGCCCGATGATAAGCTACACGTCATATCAGTTGCAATGCTACTCAGAGCTTTAAATCGCAAAGACCTGATGGGCACTGCCACTGCGCCCGTCACCCTGAAACATAAGTTTACAAGACCCACGTGCCTGTAATTTCACTAGCACCCTTACCCTTCAAAACACAGTAATGCTGACATTACTGCTTGGGGGCAGAAATAGGTATGGTGGCAGTACTACTCTGGATAAACTCTTTCACAAGGAGCTCTACTGCTACAAGGTACAAAGAAGAATGATAAGGTATAAGTGTCTTTCATTGTAGTGCTTGTGTAGATATGCATAACTCTAAATTATTAATTAACCTAATTTTTTTATTCACGTACAAAGTACAAAAACCATAATAGGTACAGGATGAATTAATACTAAAGATGTATCGTAGCCAAATTAACATCTTATACACGAGTTCACGAGACACTCTGGCGATTTT